TTTCCCTGGAAGGAGATCCATTTCCCAAGACAGCTCAGCAGGCAGCTCAGAAAAAGATGTCAGTGACTTGGGGTGCTAATCAGAATGTATTATAAAGGTTTTATTTGAGCAGCTTTGGAGTTCCATCAGATTTTTAGAAATTCTTGCTGCTTTCTATAAGCAAGCCAGGTTTATTTATACTTCAGTATGTTTTGTGTTAGAGTATTTTTTGGGGGGACCTCATGCAGTAGTGTCTTTAGTGCAAACCTTCAAGCTTGGGAATGGCTGACAAAATCACAAATGAACTTTCATCACTGTTTTGGACTGGACCCTTGGGCATCAATAAATAACCTTTCTCAGTTACTTTCTGTCATCAGTGTGCAAACATTCATTTTAAATTACCAGTTCAAGTGTCATGTCTATAGGTTCTGTTTAACATTTCTGTTTAAAATTAATGGGTTTGTTTCATGAAGAATTGAGGATGATTATGTTGTCCTGGTGTGAATAGCTCTTTCATGTAAGTCCAGTCTGTTTATGTCTGGGTATGGAGTGGGTTGAAGGAAAATGGCACAACTCTCGGCAGTTAATTTTTACCGTGTTCATTCTGGGCATAGTCACAATTAGGGAACAAAATCAATATTAGCAAGAGTTAAAGATCATGATTAAAACTTCATGACTTTGGAGGATTTTGCCCCTTTTATGAATTTAAAAAAATTGTTTAGAATTTCAGTTTGTTTTTTTTTTTTAACAAATATAAGCAAAAACTTGATATTTGGATAAAAGATTTCTGGTAAAGTGGAAGCTTGGCTAAGGGAGTCATAATTTGCACATTTATAATTGCGTTGATTGGCTCACAGTGCTTTTAATTTCGGTGCCTTTGAGGCTTCTGTTTTCAGTTCTATCTCCCACTGGGGTTTTGGGGGTTTTGCCTGATCAATTTTTTTTTTTTTTTTAAGTCCTTACTGAAAAGCTAGAGATAAAGGTTTGTTACCTGTGCATTCATATACACACAAACCTGCACATTTTCATTTTCAAGTTGAATGTGTTCAGTATGTTTTGTATGGCTTTCTTAAGGTTGGCTACTATCACATTATAATACCAGATAGAGATGAATAGTGTTTTAGTCTTGAAGAGCAGTTGTGACTTGAATTATATAAGTGGATAGATGAAAAATCCAGATACCTTCTTCAGCTATAGTAGACATGTTGATATGAAAATTATAGTTCTGTATGCATTCAAAAGTTCAGTTTATGTAATTCCACGAATCAAAGGAATCATTTGAATAACTGTCAGCCCCTCTTTCTTTATCCTCTGTAGTGATAGTTCCTTCAGCTGTGGAATGGGAGGGGGGCACAAACCCCCCCCCGCCACCCTAATCTTGACATATTTGATTCCCAGAAAAACATGTTTCCTAATTTCTCAGAAGAACTTGTCAGCCTTAGCATCTTGAGACGGATTCTGGACCTTCACAGCAGTAAGAATACCAAATGCAGTGACAGGACAAGAGGTAACAGGTTAGAACTTAAACAGGGGAAGTTTAGATTGGATATAGGGAGGAAGCTCTTTAATGTGAGGGTGGTGAGGCACTGGAATGGGTTGCCCAGGGAAGTTGTCAATGTTCCATCCCTGGCGGTGTTCAAGGCTAGGTTGGATAAAGCCTTGGGTGACATGGTTTATTGTGAGGTGTCCCTGCCCATGGCAGGGGAGTTGGAACTTGATGATTGTCTTGGGTTCAGCAGTAGCAGTCATTTTTCTCCTTCTTGGTGGCTGATGCAGTGCTGTGTTTTGACTTTCGGCCTGGGAACAGAGCTGATAACACTGATGTTTTGGTCTGGCCAAGGACTTTGTGATCCTCATGCTTTGCCAGGGAGGAGAGGAAGCCGGGAGAAAGCAGAGACAGGACAACTGACCCAAACTGACCGAAGAGGTATTCCATATCACAGCACCTCATGCCCAGGAGGTAACTGGGAGTTAGCCGGAAGGGCTGGGAGACTGCGGGGTTGGAGGAGGTGTCAGCCAGTGCTTGGTCGGGCTGGGGGGGGGGGACGAGTTATTGGTCGGCTGGTGGTGAGATGTTGTATTCTCTTCCCTTGTTGTTTCCTTTATCACTGTTATTATTGGTGGTAGCAGTAGTGATTTGTGTTATACCTTAGTTACTAAACTGTTCTTATCTCAACCCCTGGGAGTTGCATTCTTTTCCATTCTCCTCTCTGTCCCTCTGGGAGTAGGGGGAGGGCAAGAAGGGGGGGGGAGTGAGTGAGCGAGTTGACTGACTGGTTTTAAACCACGACAATGATCTTAAAGTCCTTTCCAACCCTAACTGTTCTATGTTTCTATGAGAAGCTCAGCCTTATCCAAATCCAGGGTAGCCAATTGTTGTGGTTTAAACCCAGGCAGACAGCTTGTTCACTCACTCCCTGCTTCTTTCCCTCCCCCTACTCCTGGAGGGACGGAGAGGAGAACTGAAAAGAATGCAGCTCCACTGGGTTGAGATAAGAAGAGTTTAGTAACTAAGGTATAACACAAATCACTACTGCTACCACCGATAATAATAAAGAAAATAACAAGGGAAGTGAATACAACACCTCACCACCAGCCGACCCATAACTTCTCCCCCCAGCCCAACCAAGCACCGACCGGTACCTCCTCCAACCCAGCAGTCTACCAGCCCTTCCAGGTAACTCTGTTACATCCTGGGCATGATGTGCTGTGGTATGGAATACCTCTTCGGTCAGTATGGGTCAGGTGTCCTGTCTCTGCTTTCTCCCGGCTTCCCCTCCTCCCTGGCAGAGCATGAGCCTCACAAAGTCCTTGGTCAGGGTAAGCATTACTTAGCAACAACTGAAAACGTCGGTGTTATCAGCACTGTTCCCAGGCTGAAAGTCAAAACACAACGCTGCACCAGCTACGAAGAAGGAGAAAAATTGACTGCTACTGCTAAACCCAGGACACCAGTTCTGATAGTTTCCAGAGAGGGTCATGTTATCCCTAGTCTGTCTTTTGTTTGGTATATACCTATAGAAACCTTTCCTGGTTCTTTCACATCCCTTGCCAGATTTAATTCTAACTGGACCTTAGCTTTTCTGACCTGATCTTTAGCTTCCCTGGACAATATCCCTGTATTCTTCCCAGGCTGCCTATCCTTGCTTCCATGTTTTATAAGCCTCTTTTTTCCCCTCAAAGTTTCCTCAGCAGCTCATTATCCATCAAGGGAGGTCTCCTGGCCCTCCTGCTCTGCTTCCTTCTAGTTGGGATGCAACACTCCTGAGCTTGCAGTAGGTGATCCTTGAATATCAACCAAGTCTTGGGCCCCCCTGCCCTCTAGGGTGTTATCCCATGGAACCTTACTAAGCAGGTTCCTGAAGAGGCCAAAGTCTGCTCTCTTGAAGTCCAGGGCAGTGAGCTTACTGCATGCTCTCTTCACTGTCCTGAGGATCTCTAATTCGACCATCTCATGATCACTGCATCCAAGGCTGCCCTGGAGCATCACATTTCCAATGAGCCCTTCCCTGTTAGTGAGCATGAGGACAAGCATGGCATCTCTCTTTGTTGACTCCTCTGTTACTTGCAAGAGGAAGTTGTCTTCCACACAATCGAGGAATCTCCTCGATTGCTTGTGCTTGGCCGTACTGTCCCTCCAACAGATATCAGGATGTTTGAAGTCCCCCATGAGGATAAGGGCCTGTGAGCGTGAGGCTGCCCCTGTCTATAGAGTGCTTCATCTACAGAGTCTTCCTGATCAGGTGGCCTGTAACAGATCCCCGCAATAATGTTCCTCATCGCTGTTCTCCCTTTGACCCTGACCCACAAACTCTGTTGCCTGATCACCCATCCCCAGATTTCTTTACTCTCCAGTCTATCACTGACATAGATAGTTACTCCTCCTCCCCGTCTGCATGGTCTGTCTTTTCTGAAGAGCCTATAACCTTCCATTCCAACACTCCAGTCATAGGAGCCATCCCACCATGTTTCTGTGATGCCAGTGATATCATATCCCTGTAGCCATGCACACACGTAATTCCTCTTTTTTTATTCCCCATGCAGTGGTTGTTTGTATAGAGGCATCTGAGCTGAGCTCCAAATAAAGCCAAGTCATTGGCTGGAGCAGCTGAAATATCTCTACATTGCTCCAAGTATTTATTACAGGTGCTGGCAACTGATTGGGAGTGTTTGGATGGCTTTATACTCCTCTCCCCCAATGCATCTAGTTTAAAGCTGTGTTGTCCAGCATGGCAAGTCTCCTACCAAAGCACTGCTTCCTCTTCTTTGGCAGACCAGCTCCACCAGCCTCCAGTAGACCTGTGCAATGCTAGTTATTTCCTTCTATAAGTGCTAGTGAAGGCTTTCTGGTTTCTCACATGCTAAATGTTTTTCTGTTGTTTGTGTTTGTTTTGTATATGAAATGCACACAAGAAATAATTCATTCTTGTCATTATTTAAAGCTACAGTCTGTCCCTGTTCTGTTCTGATGCACCTGGTACCACTCTTATCTCCCTGCCCTCCGCAAGCCCCACAGCCCTCTAAGATTATATGCTTTTTAACTAAGCTCATCATCCCATTTTGTAATAAGTACTTAACCATTATGTTTTTAGGAACTTTCCTACTAAAAATGGTGCTTTACTTTGTAAGATATGTTAGTATCTCTGAAAATGCTTGCAGTCAGATGGTTCAAAACAAGAAACTGGTGGCTTTTTGGAGCAGTGATTTTTACATATTTCCTGTGTATCTTGAGGTGATGAATTCCTTATTGCTTTGCCAGGGGTTGTAGAGTTCTATGTAATTCCATTGAAGCCATCCATCCTCTGAGAAAACTTGAGTACTTGAAATGGTATGGATTTCAGATGTGATGGATTGCTGGCATTAGCATTTGATACAGAACTGTGGTGCTGGGAGAAAGAGCAAGACTTAGAGGAAGTCTCTGTTTCGAAGTAGACTGTTTAAACCATAAGACTGTGTTAATGTATTATGTATAAGGTCTGCTCCTTTGCATTCCATTTTACTCTCTGATTTTTGTCTTGTAGTGTTGTCCCTCAGACAACAGTAATACTGAACAATGACCGGCAGAATTCTGTTGTAGCCAAGATGGTTGGGCAGGAAGAGCCACGAAGAAGAGCAGTGGATTCTCTGGAAAATATTCTTAGCAAGTTAGTAGTGGTTATGGGAATCCTCCCCTTTCATTCTCTCATTTGACAGGTCAATATCAGTCTCTGCAGCAATTTGAAGTGAAAAATGAGGAAAGTTTTAGTAATAGTGGGGGGACGGGGGACGGGACGGGACGACAGGGACGGACACGGGACGACATGCAACTGGTACCTGAATATTTTATCAGGATGACAGTTCTGCCTACAGAGACCTTGTATCAGCAGGTAAGGTATAGAGCAATGCTTTGTTCTTGATGGGGTGAGAATATCTTGAAGGATGTGAGATTAGTTCAGTGTTAGTTGAGGGTCCACAGCTACATATACTTTACACAGATGCACAGTCACTTGGGAATGTGCCAAGATCCTCCTCCAGAGGAGGGCCACAAGGATGATCAGGGAACTGGAGCACCTCCTCTATGAAGACAGGCTGAGAAAGTTGGGGCTTTTCAGCCTGGAGAAGAGAAGACTGTGTGGAGACGTCATAGCAGCCTTCCAGTATCTGAAGGAGGCCTATAAGGATGCTGGGGAGGGACTCATCATTAGGGACTATAATGATAGGACAAGGAGTAACAGGATCAAACTTAAACAGGGGAAGTTTAGATTGGACATAAGGAGGAAGTTCTTTAGTGTAAGGGTGTTGAGGCACTGGAATGGGTTGCCCAGGGAAGTTGTGAATGCTCCATCCCTGGTGGTATTCAAGGCTAGGCTGGACAGAGCCTTGCGTGACATGGTTTAGTGTGAGGTGTCCCTGCCCATGGCAGGGGGGTTGGAACTAGATGATCTTAAGGTCCTTTCCAACCCTAACTATTCTATGATTTAACCAACTGAAGAAGGAATATGCACCTACCCAGGAAGGCTTGTCAGAATTTATACTGTCTAAAGCACTTTTTAAATTAAGTGGAACTGGAGATTTTGGGTAGGAAAATGTTCTTAAATAATTTTATAAATGATTTAAATGTATTTTGTTGTTTTGCATATTGGGCCTAGACTTTTCCATTAATACAAATTTAGAAAGTATATCTAAAATTTCATTTCTGCTGTTTTCTTTCAGTTTTATTTTGCTGGTTAGCCTTGAGGTATGAACAGGAAGTAGTATGCTTTTTTAATACGTTTAATTTTGTCTGTTTTCAATTTCCTTATGATGATGCTCTTCCTAATCAAGGATTTTTTTCTCCCCTAGTACTGTTCCTGGACGTAGGCAGAACACCATAGTGGTGAAAGTTCCTGGGTATGAGGACAGTCACAATGAAGATGGAGAGAGTGGCTCTGAGGCCAGTGACTCAGTTTCCAACAGTGGACAAATAGGAAGTCACGGTATTGGGAACAACGTCACCCTTATTACACTGAACTCTGAAGGTATGCGCACCTAACTGTAAGGCTACTTGGGCAGAGTAAATGTGGTGGTGTAATGAACTAAGATTGAACTGGAAGCTTTTGAAGTCATATCACAGGTCCAACCTGGAACTGTTAAGCAGCACAGCAAGCACTGGATAGGAGTGAAACAATCTCAATGAGTTGGTTGGTTGTTTCACTTTGAAGGCAGAACAGCTAATTTGAATTATTTGTAAAAAAATATCCTTCATTGTGGCAGTGTAACTTATTATTTTAAATCCTTTAACAAATACAACCTGCAGGGTTTCCTATTGAAAAAATGTTTCAGGAAAGTAAATGCCTTCTCTGGGATATACAATCAACTTGTACCATGTTTTAGAATCATAGAATAGTTAGGGTTGGAAAGGACCTTAAGATCATCTAGTTCCAACACCCCTGCCATGGGCAGGGACACCTCACAATAAACCATGCCACCCAGGGCTTTGTCCAACCTGGCCTTGAGCACTGCCAGGGACAGATCATTCACAACCTCCCTAGGCAACCCATACCAGTACTTCACCACCCTCACATTAAGGAATTTCTGCCTTATATCCAATCTAAACTTCCTTTGTTTAAATTTTAACATGTTACCCCTTGTCCTGTCACTACAGTCCCTAATGATGAGTCCCTCCCAAGGATCCCTATAGGCCCCCTTCAGATACTGGAAGGCTGCTAGGAGGTCTCCATGCAGCCTTCTCTTCTTGAGGCTGAACAGCCCCAACTTTTTCAGCCTGTCTTCACACAGGACGTGCTCCAGTTCCCTGATCATCCTCGTGGCCCTCCTTTGGACTTGTTCCAATAGTTCCATGTCCTTTTTATGTTGAGGACACTAGAACTGCGCACAGTACTCCAAGTGAGGTCTCACGAGAGCAGAGTAAAGGGGCAGGATCACCTCCTTTGACCTGCTGGTCATGTTCCTTTTGGTGCAGCCCAGGATACAGTTGGCTTTCTGGGCTGCGAGTGCACACTGCTGGCTAATGTGAAGTCTCTCATCAACCAATACCCCCAAGTCCTTCTCCACAGGTCTGCTCTGAATCTCTTATCAGCCCAACCTGTAGCTGTGCCTGGGATTGCTCCGACCCAGGTGTAGGGACCTTGCAATTGTCATGGTTAATCTTCATGAGGCTGGCATCAGCCCACCTCACAAGCGTGTCAAGGTCCCTCTGGATGGCATTCCTTCCCTCCAGTGTATCAACTGAACCACACAGCTTGGTGTCATCGGCAAACTTGCTGAGGATGCACTCAGTCCCACTGTCCATGTCACCAACAAACATGTTGAACAAGATCAGTCCCAACACTGATCCCTGAGGGACACCACTCGTTACTGGTCTCCACCGGACACTGAGCCATTGACCACAACTCTTTGTGTGTGGCCATCCATCCAGTTCTTTATCCACCTAGTGTTCTACCTGTCAATTTGATGTCTCTCCAATTTAGAGACAAGGATGTTGTGTGGGACAGTTGTGGACCTTTTGCACAAGTCCAGGTAGATGACATCAGCTGCTCTAACCTTGTCTTTTAGTTCCATAGCCCTGTTGTAGAAGGCCACCAAATTGGTCAGGCAGGATTTCCCCTTAGTGAAGCCATGCTGGCTGTCACCAACCACCATGTAGTTTTTCATGTGCCTTAGCATGCCTTCCAGGACAATCTGCTCCAAGATTTTGCCAGGCATAGAGGTGAGACTGACTGGTCTGTAGTTCCCCGGGTCATCCGTTTTCCACTTCTTGGGAATGGGGTTATATTTCCCTTTTTCCAGTCATCAGGAAATTCACCTGACTGCCATGATTTTTCAAAGATGATGGGCAGTGGCTTAGCAGCTTCACTTGCCAGCTCCTTCAGGTCCCGCGGATGGATTTCATCAGGTCCCATGGAGTTGTGTACGTTCAAGTTTTTAAGATGGTCTTGAACCAGATCCTCTCCCTCAGTGGGCCTAGGGTCATCATTCTCACAGTCCTTGTGTCTACCTTCCAAGACGTGGGTGGTGCAGTCAGAGCTTTTGCCAGTGAAGACCGAGGCAAAGAAGTCATTCAGAACCTCAGCCTTCTCCAAATCCTGTGTAGCCAGTTCTCCCGAGAGCTTCCTGAGGGGGCCTACATTGTCCCTAGTCTGTTTTTTAATCGCTACATACCTATAGAATCCCTTCCTTTTATCCTTAACATCCCTAGCCAAGTTTAATTCTGACTGGGCCTTAGTTTTCCTAACCTGGTCCTTAGCTTCCTGGAAAACATCTCTGTTTTCTTTCCAGCTGGCCTGTCCTTGCTTCCACCTTTTATAAGCCTCTTTTTTCTCTCTAAGTTTCCTCTGCAGCTCCTTATCCATCCAAGGGGGTCTCCTGGCCCTCCTGCTGCGCTTCCTTCTAGTTGGGATGCAACACTCCTGAGCTTGCAGTATGTGATCCTTGAATGTCAACCAACAGTCTTGGGCCCCCCTGCCCTCTAGGGCTGTATCACATGGAATCTTACGAAGCAGGTTCCTGAAGAGGCCAAAGTGTGCTCTTTTGAAGCCCAGGGCAGTGAGCTTACTGCATGCTCTCTTCACTGTCCTGAGGATCTTGAATTCGACAATCTCATGATCGCTGCATCCAAGGCTTTCCCTGCAGCGTCACATTTCCAGCAAACCCTTCCCTGTTAGTGAGCACAAGGTCAAGCATGGCACTTCTCCTTGTTGGCTTCTCTATTACTTGCAGAAGGAAGTTGTCTTCTGCACTATTAAGGAACCTCCTGGATTGCTTGTGCTTGGCCATACTGTCTCTCCAACAGATATCAGGGTGGTTTAAGTCCCCCATGAGGTAAAGGGCCTGTGAGCGTGAGTCTGTTCCTATCTGTCTATAGAGTGCTTCATCCAGAAATTCCTCTTGATCAGGCCATCTGTAACAGATCCCGCAATAATGTCTCCCATCTCTTTTTTCCCTGGAATTTACTAAGGCAGTCCATTAGTGTAATTCCAAACCATTTTTATAAGGAAATTAGTATTTAAGAAGTATTAACAGGATAGTGTGTAGTGTCAGTTTTCTGGCAATTCTTTAGGTCTTTGGATACTAAATTCAAATGTAGTGCAATGTAAGAATTTTAGATTAGCCTTATAATCTATATGGTTGGATCTATTGAAATGAATGATAGTTTGCTATATTTTAAACACAAACATGATATAAGGGGACACAGTTTCAGGTGAAAACAACATGTGGTGAATTGTTTGATGATTAGTGTCCTGGGTTTAGCAGTAGCAGTCAATTTTTCTCCTTCTTGGTAGCTGGTGCAGCGCTGTGTTTTGACTTTCAGCCTGGGAACAGTTCTGATAACACCGATGTTTTTAGTTGTTGCTAAGTAATGTTTACCCTGACCAAGGACTTTGTGAGTCTCATGCTCTGCCAGCGAGGACAGGAAGCCAGAAGGAAGCAGAGACAGGACACCTGAGCCAAGCTAGCTGAAGAGGTATTCCATACCACAGCACGTCATGCCTGGGGGGGTAACTGGGAGCTACCTGGAAGGACACGGGGTCTTCTGGGTCGGACTTGTTTTTCCACGGGTGGTATCGTATTCTCTTCCCTTGTTATTTCCTCTTATCATTGTTGTCGTTGGTGGTAGCGGTGGTGATTTGTGTTGTACGTTGGTTGCTGGACTGTTCTTGTCTCAACCCATGGGAATTGCATTCTTTTGATTCTCCACCCCACCCCTCCAGGAGTGGGGAAAGCTGGGGGGGGTGGGGGGGGAAGGAGAGAAAGAGGGAGGAAAAGGGGGGGATTGAGTGAACAAGCTGTCTGGCTGGGTTTAAACCACAACGATTAGTTTGAAGGTATCAGTGTTTTTTTTTATTTTTTTATTTTTTAAGCACAGATTAACTCTAGGGCTCAAATTACAATTTAATAATCTCCTAATGACTTTAAAATAACCCACTTAATAAACAAAAAACAACCCCCCCCCCCAATAAAACCCAACATTTAATAAATATTTACTTAAGTACTATTCTGCATATGGTTGGGAACAAGGTAAACTGCCATCAGATTTTCGTGACACAATTATCATCACTCTGTGTAAGAAAAAAGGTGTAAAGTCAGACTGTTCAAGGTACCGAGGTATAACTCTGCTCTTCATTGCTAGAAAAATCCTTGCAAAAATACTTTTGAACAGATTAGTGCTCTCTATCGCAGAAGAACTTCTACCTGAAAGTCAGTGTGGTTTCAGAGCTAACGGAAGTACCACAGGCATGGTATTTGTTCTCAGACAACTGCTAGAGAAGTGTAGAGAACAGAATAAGGGGCTCTATGTAACTTTCGTTGACCTCACCAAAGCTTTTGACACTGTGAGCAGAAAAGGCCTGTGGCTGACCCTGGAAAGATTAGTCTGTCCCCTCAAGTTCCTCAAAATGATTATTCTGTTACATGAGGATCAGCACGGCCAAGTCAGATAGGGTGATTCACTCTCCGAGCCCTTCCCAATAACCAATGGTGTGAAAAAAGGTTGCATTCTCACACCAACTTTGTTCACAGTCTTTTTCTGTATGACGCTCCAAAGGTCTACAGTAGACCTCGATGAACAAAATGGCATTTATATTCAATATCGTACTGATGGGAGCCTATTCAATCTAAGGCGACTGAAGGCCCACACTAAGACCCTAAATCATCTTGTCCATGAATTGCTTTTTGCTGACTTTGTTGCCCACACAGAAGCAGCTCTGCAGCGCTTAACACCTTGCTTTGCGGAGGTGGCTGAGCTTTTTTGGCTGGAAGTCAGCTTGAAGAAGACAGTAGTTCCCTACCAATCTGCACCACAAGAAGATTATCATCATCCCCACATTACTATTGGCGAGTCAGAGCTTAAGTCAGTTCAGCAGCTCAGCTCTCCGGGAAGCATTATTTCCTTGGATGCCACGATCGACAAAGATATAGAGCACAGAATAGCAAAGGCATATAGAGCATTCAGTAAGCTCCATAAAAGAGCCTGGTGCAATAAACATCTGAAGAAAAGTAGAGATTAGTGTCTATAGAG